AAATGATATAAGTATAATATTATATAATATTATTATTATATGATTAGGAAATTAGGAAACCAATTGCTCAAAGCAACTTACAATGGCCAAATTCCTGGTTGGTGATTATCCCTAAGTATTGAGTTGGACGCCTATATTATTAATTAGACAAAACCCATTTCTTCGTCCCTTTGTAAAAATAGTAAAATAAGAAAAGAAACAAACTGAAAAAAATTATGACATCCTAACAATTAAAAAAATTTAAATAATTTTACAAAAAAATTATATTATTTAAAACATTAATGCATTTTAATTTTCATTTTCTATAGAAAAGATTTGTCCTCTTTGTAAAGAATTTGAAAGGAAAAGTTAGGGATAAGTAACTCAAATATTAAAGAGCCCCACATTGATTAGGCCAACCAAAATTCAATCTCTATCTTAAGAAGCTAATTCTTATTTCTTTTTCCTTTAAAAAAAAATGGCCATGAGGGAGGTAGTGGTTGAAAATGGCCGTAAGGGAGAGGGAGTGGTTGAATGCACATATATTCCATGTCATGGTAACATCATGTTGGCCTTTTTCTTTGAACGGCAAACATCATATTAGACATATGGATCGAACAGCACATGACAATCCAACATCTCTTCAATCGTTGGAATAGGATCTCTGCCATCCAAAATAGGATAGGTTTAATTATATTACCCTTATAATCACTATTTAGATTTTATTAACTCATTATATTTCATACAATATCTATTATAGATACATGAATTAAAATTTATTTGTACACAATATTAATTTATCAAAATACAATTCTAATACCCATCAAAAAACATATTTAGTAATTTCGCGCCAGCGCGGTGCAAAATATACAGGCAGGTAGCTGATCATGAGTGATCAGAACAAAAATCTAAAATGTAGGCTAATTGAATGAAATGGAGGTGTTGGTGTAGACTGCCAACTACTTCGATCCTGTCCTCACAACTGCCCTAATTGATGCGTTAAAATAAAAAATCTTGCTATTGTTAAACCTCCCTAATATTATTATATATATAATAATAAATCTTATAACAGAGAATATTTTTTTCTTTTTCAAATTCTTTTTCACTTATTTCAAAATTAAAACTAAAAACCTTCCACATAAAAATTTAAATTCTTAATTAGCAAAACACGTAAGAACTCCTAATATTGTTTTCTTTTTACAAAATCTTCCCTCCTTCCATTTCCATGCTCTGTCTCTCTCAACCACATTAGTTGATATAGACAATGCATACTCATTACCCAACAGCTTCCTAACTTTTCTTCCCCCACTCCTTTTAAATCCCCCCATCTCTCCCTCTCACCTTAACACGTAACTATTTTAGTTCTTGAGTTTTTCTCTTCCTACTTTTCCTATCTTGCTTACATGTCATGGGGGTTCACCGTCCATTTGAGCCAATCTCTAAATGCAGCAGCGAAGGTCGGTCCAATCAGACAGTGGCTGCCGACTTAGATGGCACGCTGCTCGTGTCACGTAGTGCTTTTCCTTACTTTCTGCTGATTGCTCTGGAAGCTGGCAGCCTCATACGCGCACTCCTCCTACTAGTGGCATGCCCCTTTTTGTATTTTGCATACTTGTTCATCTCTGAATCATTCGCAATCCAATGTTTCATCTTCATTGCCTTCGCTGGGTTGAAAATGCGAGACATCGAGCTTGTTTGTAGGCTAGTCCTTCTCTTTTTAATTAAGTATTAACTATCATCGAGATTTGAATTTCTTACCTTATAACGCTAGTCTGCCACTATTTTCAGGTCCGTCTTGCCAAAGTTCTACGCAGAAGATGTTCATCCGAAAACATGGAGAGTTTTCAATGCGTTTGGGAAAAGATATATAATCACCGCGAATCCTAGAGTCATGGTAGAACCGTTCGCCAAGACCTTCTTAGGTGCGGACAAGGTCATCGGAACAGAGTTGGACGTAACCAAATCAGGCAGAGCAACAGGGTTGGTGAAGAAACCAGGAGTTCTTGTCGGAGAACACAAAAGAAATGCCATCTTGAAAGAATTTGACACCAACAACCCACCAGATTTAGGCCTCGGAGATAGAGAATCTGACCATGATTTCATGTCATTATGCAAGGTTCAGTTTCACAACTTATATCCTTTTTCACATTTTTATATTTCTTTAATCTTTATCATTCCTTTTTCACTTTTTTCTGGTACACGATTATAATGTCCAAAAGCTTTACCATATGGTTCTTAAACTCGACATCGTTAGCACGCAACTGAAGCTGGCAAACTAACTCTTGGGTTGTTGAGACTGTTTATGGCAATAATATAGTTTGCTTTATATCTCTTTCTCATTTCGTAACTAGAGCTCATTTAGTTTAAGAGCAATAAAAAAATAAAAAATTATAATTATAATTATAATTTAATTAATTAAAATAAATTTTCTTTTTGCTTGACTTCCTTCAAATCAAATAAATTATGAATTAATTTCTTTATATATATTCATGAAAACCCAATTATTTTTGCTTTTATATGTCAAGTTCAAAAAACAAATAAAAGAAAGAAAAAGGCATTTATTTCATAGAAAAATAAAAAATAAAA